CGATCCCGGTACGTTGGAATTACGAGTCGGACTCGTAAGGCCTAAGCCACGGACGCCGCGTGTATATCAACTGAGCAGTTGGAAACTGCAGCGCTGTTCGGCTAGACTTCCGTCTTGGGTTTAAATCCGCATACAGTCATAATTTTTTTTTTCAACATGATCTTAAATGGTTACTAGGTTAGGTCATGGGAAGTAAAGGCGGCTGATGGGACACTGATCACGTTACCCTTTATTAGTCAATAAAACTATGAGTCTAGCTTCATATGCTAAATACCCACTGTCGTCTAAGGGGACCTCAAATTACAAATGAACGGTTAAAGAGGCCCCAGCACACTGGTTTTCACAGGGGCCCATAATGCTGTTAAGACGGCTGTGTATTGATGACTGGCAAAAAGTATATCCTGCTTCTTGATTACAATTCAGGCAAATAATAAAAGTCAACCAATATTATTTAGTCCATTTACTTCTTCTTTCGTTTGCTTGAAATAATTTATCAGTATCTGCAGTTCTGTCTCTAGTATAAACTTCACTGTCTGTTGTAATTCAATTAGCGACCCGTAAAGTTTGGCTTGCATCTGTGTTTCTCTTGGCGACAAGTTTGTCCTTGATATGTTGTGTTACGGACAGTCTTGGGAGACGTGATATATCGTCTCATGTATTCGTTATTTAGCAGACCCTTTGCAAAATATCGCCGCAGTCAGCGCATGCAAGAAAGCCTCTCGAGTCCCCTCAAGAGATCCCCTACTGATTATTTCTGTGTATTAAGAACAACACAAAAGAAACCGTCCAATCAACTCTCATCCTCAAAGGTTGTGTTGTATTCTAGACACAGCATTTAGGGAACTTATCTTGGGTAATATAGATAGATGTCTGTAACCTATGGTGCCATTTCAATGGTTTGAGACGAATTCTGTGCATATTCCATAGTTGTGTCGTTCAATATGTAATACAGACATGGCTCATGAATACATCTTTAGTTAGGGGATGACTAGTTACCCATGCGTCTTAGTACACATGCTTCTGCAGCGAGGCGCAATCGTCATTTGGAAAAGACCTGTTCGCTTCCTTATCGCTCTCGATTTTGCTGTTGTCTAGTTTGCTATCTTCCTTTTTTTCCTTGAGTGCCTATCATTATCTGTTTATTTATTATATCTCTACAGCCTCAAGGAATCCTCATCTGTTTTTTTGTCTTGCTCCCATGCCACCTGCCCAGCCTCACGACCTTTCATCCCACGGAGTCATTGATATCCTCTGTTTACCATCGTTTTAGTCCACTACAAATTCTCTTCCAGGAACTATACCATATATTTCTGTCCTAGAAACGCCAAGACGTTTAATATGTCCGAAGAATGGCAGTTTACGATAAACCATGCTGTTTATGACTCCTACCCCTTCATTTTTACATCGTTAAGAAAAAGGAGCGGCGTCCGTGACTTAGGCGTTGCTAGTCCGACTCGTAATACCAACGTACCGTGATAGAAACCCACTGCTGGTTGCGTGGATTTTTATCATGGTATAGGGCGTCGCAGCTCGACCCAGCCTAAAATGGGTACCATGATGGCTGTACTGGGGAAGCAAAGACAGCCGGCGTAATGCTACCCACATTACCCACCCAGTACCGATTGGTCTTTAAAAATATGAGTGAAGCAATAATTCTTCTTTCGCTCTAAGTTATCAGGACTCTCCGCAAGAGCTTACAACAGTGAACAAAGAAGAAGAATCATATATTAGTCATCCCCATGTGGAATGCAATTTTCAGTTTTCTTGAAGCCCCACACTGGCTTTTCCAGGGGGCCCTAAATATAGCCGGGCCATAAATATGGCCTAACGGCTAAGCGGGATTTCGGGGACCTCTCCACGGGTGATCCTCATCCGTATGGTAGCACTTAGTGGCACCTGGTGTTGATCGCTTATGTGATGTACTGGGTGGGTACAACTTACATGCATATTTACATACAGAAGAAGAAGGAGAACGGAATGAGTAATTATTGTCGCTTTATTACCAGAGAGTATTCATTACTGCTATAAAGTTCTGTGATTATATTATTATTCTTTTACCAGTTTATATAGCACTTTAAATGACAGCATTCAGACATTATTTTTTAATGGGTAACTAAAGAGAACACTCTAAACACTTGCCTGTAGGTGTGTAGAAATTGAGACTTCTATTTATGTGATCCTGTGCAAATTGCTTGAACAATAAATTGAAACTCCTTGCCCACCCTCTTTTGCTGCTGCGTCTACTACTACAAACTACCACCACCACTACTTCTACTAGTAATGCTACTCTACTACTTTTACTGCTACTGCTACTTCAATTACTACTACAATTACTATTGCTACTACTACTGCTGCTACTACTACTATTACTACTACTACTTCTAATACTACTACTACCACCACCATTACAAAAACAACTACTAAAACAAAACACATAACACTGGTACTACTACATTCATTGGAGAGCCGCCATGGTGTAGCGGCTGGATGTTCGCCTGGGGATCGGAAGGTTGTGGGTTTAAGTTCTGACGGAGCCAGACTTTTTTTTTTTTCGAAAATCCCCTTAGCTTCCTGGTTGACCCGACCCAGCCTTTAGTGGGTATCAGATATAGTCATTAAAAATAAAACAGACCGGGGTCTTGTTGACCTCATCACCCACCGAGTGTCGACTGGTCTATAAAATATAGGTCTAGCCCAGCGATTCTCAGCCTGTGTGTCGGGCCCTTTTTTTGCGTTGAACGATCCTTTTATAGGGGTCGCTTGAGACCACTGGAAAACACACATTTATTGAAGTTATGAAGTAACAACGAAAATAATTATATGGCTGGGGGTCGCCACAACATGAGGAACTGTATTAAAAAGTCCCGGCTTTAGGAAGCTTGAGAACCACTGGTCTAGCCCTATATGCCCAATAAAATTGAGCTCCTAGAAAGAGGTCCTTTACTTCACTACAGTTACTGTTATCATAAACACGTCTAATACTGATACCATTTTCACTCTTACACTTTTACCATTATTACTTTTGTGACCTACTACGACTATTCAGTGTCTATTTCTTATGTTTTCAGCAAGTTTTCATAGTTTCGGACACAGCTTATTCGAAATCAGCGGCCGGTGATTTAGCAGCAGACCGCTCTGTCTTGATTTAGACAACGGTATGAGTGTCGAGCTATTCATGAAGCAACGGCAGACTACTGAATGTAAATAAGTGCCTATTAAATTTACGATTACTGCACAAATGCTTGGGGAGGTTAGCGACAAATTATAAGAGGTATGCAACAATGTATTTTTAATGAAAACGATCCATCGATGGGTTTGTCTTCTCTGCGATGCTACCTGTAGGTTTACAGGACGTTGCAGAACCAACCCCAGCATTTATTGGCCGTTGTGGTTATTCTAGGCAAATTTACGTCCAGTAGTTTGTCATTGCTCTCAGGACGGTCGGCTTCTTGATACCACTGTCTAAACCAACGCAGGGCGCAAAGCCCGCAGCTGGGATCGAACCCGGCACCCTGGCAATACGAAGTGCATTGGCAACGCCTAAGCCACAGACAGGTTTAGCACCTTTGAATTTAAATATAAAAAACAACAACCTAAGTTCTAGATGATAGACAAAACGATATAATAAACATACCCTGTTCAGCGTTTAAAGGTTATAATAATTCAACACATCAAAGCTATACCAGGAGTCACCGTGCTGTTGTAGCTAGACATTCGCCTGTACATCCGAAGGTGGTGGATTCACGTCCTGATGGAGCTGGGCGATTATGTTCGAAAATTACTTGGGCTGTTAGTTCGACCCAGCCTTAAATTGGTAGAAGGTAAAGTCTAGGGAAGTAAAGGCAGCCGCCATGATGTTGACCACATCACCCACTGAGTACCGATATGGGCCTATGATAAAAATGTCTAGCCTTTGAGTCGAATACGCAGGAATGCATGGAAAAGGGTCCTTTACTTTACTTAACGGCTACACAACCCTTATGTAACCTGCAGTACTTTGCGGATTAGGACATTTCAATGTAATGGATTAAAAGTGAGTTGAAAATAGATATTATTGTACTGGTGTTTGTAAATGGATTTGGAATCTCGCTACAGGCAGGTTGCTTACCCGCTAGGCATTGTACACAGTGCAAAACACATAGGCAACAGCTACTACCCCTATAATGTTTATTGTTTCCTTGTGTTTTAGTTGCCACTATTTTCTGCTAGCATGTACTACCACAACAATAAGTGTTAATATCGAGATCTCTGTCTCGTAAGACTAAGATCACAATAAATGAATTGCTGTTAATACAAGTTATTTTGTATGGCTCTGAAACTTGAAGCTCAACCAAAAGAAATGAAGCCTTACGACAAATTTAGTACGAATCTGTTGCAAACAGCGGGGAATGGAGATTGAAAAACAATAACTGAGTTCATAATATGTGGAAATCACCACTGATTATTGGTATCATAAGGGCTAATGACTGGGCATTTTCAGAGAACGTCATACGACGGAGAGGTAAAGAGTGTGTACATACCTGAATGTACACACACTTCACAATCTCACACACTCATAGACTCGTACATGCATTAGCGACATAAAAAAATACGTTATCAGGGTGGGATTTATTATCGTCCCCCTTTTTGAGGTTGTATGTACTATTATTATACCCATTTCGGGATGTAATTTATTATTATCCCCATTATCGGGATGCAATTTATTTTTATCCCCATTATTGTGATGTGATTTATTATTATCTCCATTATCGGGATGTAATTTACTATTATCCCCATTATCAGGATGTAATGTACTATTATTCCCATGATCGGGATGTGATTTATTTTTATCCCCATAATCGGGATGTGAATTATTGTTATCCCCATTATCGGGATGTGACGTACTATTATCTACATTTTCGGGATAGGATTTGCTATTATCCTCCTTAAGGAATATGATTCATCTATTCTTACACTTATCTAAAAAAACGGAGCAACTACAAACATGTAGATATTCTCACCTGAACATCAAAAGGAAAGTCATCCAGTTCAAGGTTCTCCATGAAGGTGCCCCTGACAGTTCTCTTCTCCGACATAAAGGCCTCGCCCTTGTCGTTGAAGACAACCCGGTATCTGAACATCTCCTTGGGGTCGCCATAGCTGTTTTCTATATACAGTTTGGGGTTCCAGTATTTCTTGATGTCCGTGACGTCACCAGACTGAAAAATGAACATTGTTTCGTAAATGTCCAGGTAGGTAGTAACTAATTTTATGAACACAGAATCGTAGATGCTCGTAGCTGTGGGCTCAGGCCCTTTAAGCACCTCCCAAAAATAATTTGGGAGGGGTGAGTGCTCAACCCTCCTCCCCATCCCCCTCTCCCCCGCACCCGACAATTTTGTAAGATGACTAATATGACCTTTTCAACTATGCGTATAAATATTATGTGATCAAATTTGTTTAAAAATTTCACATTTGTTCCAGTGTAGTATTATATTTATGCTGCATTTAGCCTGTTAATAATAATAATAATAATAATAATAATAGTTACATTAATAATATGATAATAATAATAATACGCTGTACGGACTGGGCTTGTGGATAATGAGAAATCTCTGACACTAACACGATGGTGTGACATGGGAGTACAGCATGGTGAAGCCCGCCTATACAGTTGGTAAAAGTACCATGTAGTGGCTGCTGCATTGTGAGACTCACCACAAATGGGAATTCCTAATGTGCATTGAATGACTTTCTACCCCACCAGGACATCACACAAGCGATAAACAAAGTGCCACCATGCGGATGAGGGTCGCCGTGGAGAGGTCCCAGAAACCGCGTTCAGACATTTGGCCATATTTATGGCCTGCCTATATTGCGACCCCTGGCAAAAGCCAGATTGGGGCTTCAAATAACGAAAAATTACGTCCTAAAAAGGACGTATGAGATTACCTAATGTGCATTGACGTCGATCGGTTTATAAAGCGGATCAACATCACGGCACAAGGGTCGTTACCACAAAGTGGTCAGTTCTATTTCTAACTTTAGAAGAATCTCAGCGCAGTGCACGAACTCCGTAGCACCGGCGAGAATCCTGAAATACTTTAGGTAGAATTTTAACTCACAATTGAAATACTTAAGGTAGGTTTTTTAATTCCCAATTTTATCCGGGCAGCGCCGTTAGGCTACTCTTTTCGATTTCCTCTAAGGGATTTTGTTACGTGCACAGCAATACACACGGGCGTCTCATCTTACTACTCAGAGATAAGGGAAAATTACTAGAACTCCACGTGAAGAAAATTCCAGCCTTCATAGGGCCTGAACCCGGGACCTCCAGCATTCGAGGCGGACGCCATGCCTCGACACCACTTATCAACCCCCCCCCTCTCCCCCCCCCCCCCAACTGTCACAACATAGCATAATAATAATAATAACAATGTGCTGATGTGTATACAATGCACAACTGCAGAACAACAACGGTAAGAATGGTGATCCTTTTTATCCATAGCGCTAAGCCTGGTTAGTAAGGTAGAGACGATCTGACAACCCATGCAGCAAGAACATGTCTCAAATCTGTCTCGTTTACTCTGATGGGAAAGAAAGGTGAACCCAATATTTTGGAACACAGCATGCCGCAGAAGCTGCCGCATCACATGTTAGTACTCTGTTGGCCTCTCAGAGCTTCAAGCCGATCAAGGGTTATTGTCTGGTGTGGCATGCAAACCCCCGCCCCCCCCCACCCCCACCACACATATATAATTTATATATATATATATATATATATATATATATATATATATATATATATATATATATATATATGTGTGTGTGTGTGTGTGTGTGTGTGTGTGTGTGTGTGATGTAAGTTTTAGAAAGAGAGTGTATGTGACAGACAGCCAGCCAGCCAGCCAGCCAGACAGACAGACAGACAGACAGAGATAGACAGACAGACAGACAGACAGACAGACAGAGATAGACAGACAGAAATAGACAGACAGACAGAGATAGACAGACAGACAGACAGAGACAGACAGACAGACAGACAGACAGACAGACAGACAGACAGACAGACAGACAGACAGACAGACAGACAGACAGACAGACAGACAGACAGACAGACAGACAGACAGACAGACCGACAGATCGCTAGATCGCTAGATCAATTAGATCAATTAGATAGATAGATAGATAGATAGATAGATAGATAGATAGATAGATAGATAGATAGATAGATAGATAGATAGATAGATAGATAGATAGATAGATAGATAGATAGATAGATAGATAGATAGATAGATAGATAGATAGATAGATAGATAGATAGATAGATAGATAGATAGATAGATAGATAGATAGATAGATAGATAGATAGATAGATAGATAGATAGATAGATAGATAGATAGATAGATAGATAGATAGATAGATAGATAGATAGATAGATAGATAGATAGATAGATAGATAGATAGATAGATAGATAGATAGATAGATAGATAGATAGATAGATAGATAGATAGATAGATAGATAGATAGATAGATAGATAGATAGATAGATAGATAGATAGATAGATAGATAGATAGATAGATAGATAGATAGATAGATAGATAGATAGATAGATAGATAGATAGATAGATAGATAGATAGATAGATAGATAGATAGATAGATAGATAGATAGATAGATAGATAGATAGATAGATAGATAGATAGATAGATAGATAGATAGATAGATAGATAGATAGATAGATAGATAGATAGATAGATAGATAGATAGATAGATAGATAGATAGATAGATAGATAGATAGATAGATAGATAGATAGATAGATAGATAGATAGATAGATAGATAGATAGATAGATAGATAGATAGATAGATAGATAGATAGATAGATAGATAGATAGATAGATAGATAGGGGACAAATGAAAGAAACGAAGACATCGCTAGAAGGAAAGGGAAAAAGGAGGGGGGGGGGGGGCTGATAAGACGGAGAGATGAATCAAAATTGTATAATGCAATGAAACAAAGAAAAAAAAAAGACTGGCGGCTAGAGAAAATAGAAAGACTAACAGTATGTCGGCGGAGATATTATCCGAACTACTGAATGGTGTTTACAACAATAGGTATAAATCTAGGGATAAACTAGCAATCTATATTTACAGCCCTGTTACATGTCAAGCATACAATGTTTTGAGTCTCTGAGGCGTTGAGGCTGACGCATATCAGTTTTATGTTCGTGACAGGGCACACAGGTGTGCAAGAAAATGAGCAAACGTATAGGATTGCAGGTAAACCTACGGGGGGGGGGGGGGGGGAAGGGGAGAGCTGTGTAGTCTCGAGGCATGGCGTCGATCAAGAGTGCTAGAGGTCCCGGGTTCAGGCCCCGGTGAAGGTTGGGATTTTTTTTTTCATGTGGACTTGTAGTAATTTCTCTGGTCTCTGGGTAGTAAGATCAGACTCCCGTGTGTATTGTTGCGCACGTAAAAAAATCCCGTAACAGTAGGAATTTGGAAAGAGTAACCTCACTGCCCTGATGCGACAAAATGTGGAGTTAAAAATATACCCATAATATTTTAGAATCCTTACCGGTGCGCAGTTTCTTCGGACTCAGGCTTGAGTTAGAAATAGAACGGGGAACGTATGGGTCACTGCTCTTGTGTCATAATGCTGATCTGTTGTTAAAACATCAGACATTAAACATCAAACCAACCGTGGCAGGCGGCCGTGCCATGGACCACTACGATATACTGAATGCTCTACAAGAAGTGAGACGTTTGCTAGAATCAAGTGAGGACTGTGAATCTGCAACCATGACCAGACTGCCAGAACAGCATGTTACAAGGAGTGTGACCAGACAAGAGCTATATGCAGGTAGTCCGAAAAGAATAAGAAAAGCAACAGTGAACTGGTGTCATCAGCAGCCTCACACTGAGGGATTTCTAACTACATTAAAGTGTACACCCGGAAATTATAATATAAACAGTCTTATTAACCATACAAATACTATAGTACGTTCCAAAAACCTTGCCGAACTTCAAAAATCTGTAACTCATTAACCGTTCTGTGTAAGTTAATGAAATTTAGCATGCAAAGTGATCTGAAAAGAAAGTACACTACTGAGGAGGGGGGGGGGGGGAAAGAGAGAAAGAAAGTGAGAGAGAGAGACATTGAGAGAGAAACAAAGCGAGAGAGAGAGAACAAGTGAGAGAGAAAGAGAGAGAAATGCATAGCTACCGAATGGAATAAAATATTTCATAATTTTGACATTTAAAATGTTATTAATTTAATGTGTGAAATTGTTAAAATTACACACTAGAATACCTTAGAATACCCCCAGTCAACTGACATCTTGTTGGCATCTGGCCATCGATAGAATTTAGGTGTAAGGGCTTACCGGTCAACTAATAAAAACGCTCCAATGGATAACTGCGTGTCCTGTTCTCAACAGTATAAAACTTTGTAAATGACGTTTTATTGCAGATTTTCTATTTACTCAAAATAGGGTGCGGGTAGTGTGAGGGTAAGGTGCGGGTTCATCCCAGGACATTCTCTTGTAAGGATTATAGACCGGGTCGACCTCAAAAACAAAAACAATAATTAAAATTTAGCTTCGATAAGGATTCGAAAAAAAAAAAAAAAAACCTGTGGGCTGACTGCACAGCTCTGGCCACTGCTCTATCAAGAAATCAAGTAGTGTACTGATCCAGCTCATGAATGAAAGCTTGCTTTCTTGCAGTTTGTCCCCTCCAGGACTGCAGTTTACAGGATTACCACCTCAAGGATAAGAATCCTAATTTTACAAATCCCGGTAAGCCCTGTTTACCGGTAAGGATAAATTGAGGCCCCGACAGTTACAAAGTAAACGTCTGCAGTCTTAACCAGGTAGGGATATCAACCAAAATTACATAACATCGATATTACATGAATGAGGAAAGTAGTAAATATTTAATGGATACATTCAATACAGGCAAGAGAAACAAAGGGTAAGTATACACTCGTAGTTATGTAAGACAAAGAAATCCCATCGCGAGGATACGCTGACAGAGAATCTCCAAATAAGCACTATAATGGGAAACAAAATTTATAAAAAATACTTTTAATGGAGGTTGATGAAAGAGGTCAATGCTAGAGTGAATTCCATTCCGTATTCGAAAATATTGCGCAGGATAGAACAGAATGAAGGAATCCGACTGCGATACCTGTGTGACATGTAAATGGCCCAACAGGATGACGAAGGTGTAAGGATGGTGTTTGTATTTTACCAAACACATTCTTTCTCCTATAAATAGATTTCTCTTTTACAAGCACGCTGGGGAATGGCTAGTCTTAACCGAGACATATGAAAAGAGACGACTAGTCATCACAGAGGACTCAAGTTCTACTGCTTGCATTGACATCAGTGAACCAGATCTGACAAAAAACTGTTACTGCACCTGCATACAAGTGGTTGCCCACAAAACAGGTTATGTATACATGCAGTCTGACTGAGAAGCTAAGGATCGATTTGGGAAGGAAAGTCCCAACTGAACTCTTTGGGTCCTAAAACATATTGTTATGTGTGCCTAAGGGTGTTAGAAGGGATATGAATCAAGTATGAGAGTGTTATTGTTACGGATGAAGAAACATATTTAATGTGTTGCTTACAAAAATAAGCTGCTAGGTTTGCACAGCGTGCTCTCGCAAAACATAAATCACATCTTGCTATGACTGGTAAATATGATGATGTTGGCTCTCATATTTTGCTTTACTTGGGACCAAAAGAGCTTTTCTTTGGGGAGAGGGGAAAAAGGGGGGGGGGGGGGGGGGGGGGGGGGTTAGAACACCTCGTAGGTTTTAGTCAAACTGACTGAATGAGTAAATATCGCTTTGCTGTAAACCACAAAACATGCATTTTTTTAAAGCAAGAATCTCAAAAGTACAAATGTATCTCTCAAGTTTTATTCATATCAGAATAATTGTAATTTTATTTCAATTCAATGTAAATGCAATCTGAAATTATTCCCTGACTGGGTGATTTGTAATGCCATACGTTCTTCCAGTACTAAAAATCTTAGAGCAGACTTGCTTGTTTTTTTCCCCTGCTGTCTAACTTATGTCAACGAATCTTTTGTTGTTATTGTCCACAGTTAGAGATTAGTGATGTGGAAGTAAAGAGAAAAGTAACAGACTACACAGCACAGCAGAAATGGTGGGACTGAGAATAAATACAAAGAAAACTAAGATCATGACAAACAGTCCAAACCAACAACCAGTGACCATAAGTAACGAATCACTTGAAAATGTGTGGTGTCCCTACTGGGAGGGACAGAGGAAGACATACAGTCACACCTAAACAAAGCTAGAGCTGCTTTTGGAAGGATGAAGCAAATCTGGAAATCCAACAGTTACTGCAGAGGAACAAAACTACGACTCTACAAGAGCATCATTTTGCCAATTCTTCTTAATGGAGCAGAATGCTGGAGAATGACCAAAAAGAACGTACATAAGCTGTCCACCTTCCACCACACATGTCTAAGTAGAATTATAAAAGTTTTCTGACCGGATACAATCTCAAACACTAAACTACTTCAAGTTGCAAACCAAGAAACTCTAGACAGTATGATAATCAAGAGAAAATGGAAATGGCTTGGCCACGTTATAAGAATGAATCCTGATATACCTGCAAAATCAGCTCTCACATGGATACCAGAGGGAAAGAGAACAAAGGGGCGTCCAAAAACAACATGGAGACGAACGATGGAAAGTGACCTGAGTGTGGCATCTTTGACATGGAAAACTGCATTGAAGATTGCACAGGACAGGAAAGCATGGAAAGTCCTCTCTAAAGCCTCATGTGCCACTAGGCATAACGAGAACTGATGATGATGATGTGGAAGTAAACCATAATGAGACAGGGTGAGCGACATTGAAAGAATTATCGTAACAAAGAGAAAGAGAAAGAGAGAGAGAGAGGGGGGAGCGAGAGCGAGAGAGAGAGAGAGAGAGAGAGAGAGAGAGAGAGAGAGAGAGAGAGAGAGAGAGAGAGAGAGAGAGAGAGAGAGAAAAGAAAGGACTAACATAGAAAAATATAAGGAAAAAAAAATACCTCGCTTATTTTCCCATCTAATGTTGGCTCCCGCCATCTTGCTCTGACGATGACGTCCGCCGTATATTGTTCTTTAAGTGTGTCGATCTCTCCGACCTTGAAAAACTGGACACAAACTTGCACTTTGATCTGAAGAAGACATAACGACTGAAATTTAGTGGTCGAGTTAGTTACCACGGTGTTAATCTTGCCACCTACTGATAAATGGCAAGGGTAATGTTGTTAGTTACACTATAATTACATGAACTATAGCAACGAATACACAGTTTAAGGCTATGATAATGTAACTGATTGCAACGTTGACCCTTTTCCGTCTTTCCAGACGATATTGTTAAAGTGTGTTGTGGGGAGTCAAGAGAATCAGATCCATGACAAAGGCAAGTGTGACTAGTAAGACCCGTTCGTGTTAGAAAACATCTTCTACGATTTGAGCGTTGGATTTCAGGATCATCGTTACTACCGCATGAATCTAACGTGCTTCTTCTCCGAAGTTCAGCTCTTAAAACCTGTCTGCAGTTATTTTCCGCTTTTTCGCGATTCCCTTCCTCACTTCACCCATCCATGCAACACGACCCATTGTATAGTGTTCGAACACATCTACCTAAATACAAGTATCAGTCATGTCCCTCTTGCATGCATTTTTATTATCGCACTAGAGGCCGACCTCAAAATTTACCCATCAGTAATTTACCACAGAGGATGCTCCTAGGGCAAGACTATTCATGAAGCGGCCCGCGGGCAAAATCTGGCCCGCGGAGATCTAGCAAGCGGCACGCGGATCATTGACAGTCGTGTTAATCTTTCGTTACTGCCACTCTGGAATCTGGCCAGTGACGATCCCCATTTTCTGAATGTTGGCCCTAGAGTAATCTTAGTGTGTTCTAGTCATATGATCCTTCGAAGGCTGAGCACTAAGAAAACTGTAATACCTCTTCTTTCCAACACTTATGTGTGATCTTATCCTACCACTCAACACAAGGTTTCTTTTTAGACTTCGCAGGTGAAAACTGAGTTCTTTCTCCTGACACAGCTGTGACGGCAGAGTTTCACTTCCGTAAAGAGAGGGACTTTGAACGCAAACTCTGAGCACATTCTGCAGGCCTGACCACTAGACTATACTCACAGTCACGAAGAGAAATCTGGCCTCAAGGGCAATGTGTACAGAGCAAGCTACGGGGAACCACGAGAGACCTGCAAATGATTGGCATATTCATTTTGCCAGCCCATTTAGCGATCTGAGAACTGAGAAGAAAAGGAAGAAAACCTAATAGTCAAGATTTTAGTTTCGACCGTGGAATCTGTTCTCCGAACCCCCCGCCCCCATCCCCCTCCACCACTCGCCCCATTCCACCACACCCCCCTCCCCCTCCCCAGCTATTAGCAAAAACAACAGACAATGTAATAGTTGCATTAGCAATAACATAGATGATGTGAACAATTGCATAGCCATATGGGGGGAATAATATGGATCATTGCAGTCAATAAAAGTACCTGTGAATATTTACAAGTCAATATAAGCATAGTTTGGATAATTTCTGACAGTACAAATAAAATGTGGATACTTACAGAGTCATTAAAAGTATAAATGGAAAACTAGAGTCACAAAAGAATAATTTTGGATAATTGAAGAGAGAGAAATAGAGAGAGAGAGAGAGAGAGAGAGAGAGAGAGAGAGAGAGAGAGAGAGAGAGAGAGAGAGAGAGAGAGAGGGGTACAATATGGAAAACAAGAGTCACAAAATAATAATTTGGATAATTGAAGAGAGGGAGAGAGAGAGATAGAGAGAGAGAGAGAGAGAGAGAGAGAGAAGAGAGAGAGAGAGGTAGAGAGAGAGCGAGAGAGAGGAGAAAGAGGACAATATTCAAAAAGATCATTTGATAACTGAAAAGAAAGAAAGAGAGAGAGAAAGAGAGAGAAAAAGAGAGAGAGACAGAGAGAGAGAGAGAGAGAGAGAGAGAGAGGTATATGCGGATAATTATACAGTCAATAACGATACTGTTGACGCTAACAGAGTAAATAATGTGTGCGGATAATTACTCGTAGTGAGCAAAAGTATGTAGGATAATTATAGACTCATAAAAAGTATTATTGCTGTTGAACAGAGGGAAATGAAATTATACTGCTGTTAATTAGAGGGAAATGAAATTATACTGCTATTAATTAGAGGGAAATGAAAGTATATTGCTGTTAATTAGAGGGAAATGAAAGTATATTGCTGTTAATTAGAGGGAAATGAAAGTATATTGCTGTTAATTAGAGGGAAATGAAAGTATACTGCTGTTAATTAGAGAGTCATTGGCATTTTTTTAAAAGTCGCATTGTATATTGACGGGCAGTTTGAATGACAATTTTTGAATGTCAATAACAATATAAGTAAAAAAAAAAAATTAAAGATCCCTTTCCACGCCTTTGGGCGTATCGGGCATATGGGAAGAGCGCCCACATTTGTTCAGACCATCAGCACTCTGTGGGTAATGTGGTCAGCTTTACGCCCATTTACAATATAATGTGGAAATTTGTCTTCTGCCTTCCTAGCCCCCAATGGAGCATAAGCCCTCAATCAATTCACGCCAAGTCGTTCTAATCTTTTTCTATCGCCAAGCAGCTCTACCCATGTCCTCCTCATCTTTTAACAGCTCCCTTTTCTATGTTTTTTTGCGAGGGGAGTGGGGGGGGGGGGTTCTTTATTTCTATGACCCTGTGGGTTCCAGTGCAAAGATATTCTAGTTATATTCTTCTCCGGTTTTATCAGTGTGTGTACTATCCAGCACCAGCAGTTTTTTTTTTTTACAACTCTTGGTCCGCTGGAGCTTGCTTAGTTCTCTCCCAAAGTTCTACATTAGTGATTCTATCATACCATTTAGTTCCCCTGTTCTGCGCAGGCACCAGTTAATGAAGGTCTGTAGTTTATTAGTAATTACCTTAGTTGTTCTCCATGTTTCTGCCCCATACAAAAGTACTGATTTGACATTAGAATTAAAAATTTTAAGCTTTGTATTTCTTTTAATTTGTTTTGACCTTTACAAATTCCCTAATGCTTTGAAGCTCCTCTTGCTTTATGTGTTCTTATTTCAATATCTCTATCAGTTTCCCTCATCGTTATCTACATTACTGCACAAAAAGGTGTACGACTCCACGTCTTAGAGTGCGATTGCATTAAGAGAAACCACAGTACTATTTGCCTGATTCATTCTCTTTATCTTTGTCTTTCCTTTGTGGATTTTCATAACTAGCTGCTGTGATCTCGCATCAAATATCTTTAATTTATCATGCTTATGATTCCGTGAATGGGACAGAAGAGAAATATCATCAGCAAAGTCCAGATCATCAAGCTGTTTTTTAGGCGTTCACTGAATTCCATTTTTTGTGTTAGCAGTTACTGTCTTCATAATCAAGTATATTGCCAGTTAAACAAAAAGGATGGGCGACAGAAGACATCCCGGTCGCACACCTGTGTTTATTTCAAATGTATCTGTTAGCTTTCCTTCATGAAGAACTTGACATTTCATGTCTTTATGAGTTGCCTTTACTAAGTTAATAATTTTCTGTGGGATTCCATAGTGCCCCATCAATTTCCAGAGAGATTCTTTTATCAATGCTGTCAAATGCTTTTTCATAGTCTATGAATCCAATGTAATATAGTGAGTTCAGCTCAAAGCTTTGCTCTATTATTTTACGTAAAGTGATTATCATTGTGTCAGTTATAATATGATTAAAGTCATTCTGCCTGTAGCGAATGTAATGTGGATAATAACATTGTCAATAACAAGTATACTGGCGATGGCGATAGAACTAACAAACATTATTCTGCCTGTAGAGTATATAATGTGGAAAATAGCATTGTTAAAAATAAGTATACTGGTGATAATGATACGACTAATAAACATCTTATTCTGCATGTTTCCTTTAATCGGAGGGTTGCCACACTGAGTTGTAGTTTATAGCTAGGATACGATATCTGTTCATTTTGGACCAACATATCTAGTTTCAAAAAGCTCTTACGACATGGTTTGTATGGGGCAGGGGGTCTATTCCCCACCCCCCCCCCACCCTTCCCCTGGGTCCCAGAAGAAACACCATGAGACTTATACACACTGATAGTGAAAAAGCAATGAGTCAACAACTAAACTAACAAATGTCTCAAAGACTCAAGGACGGGTGAATTCACATTTTTGCTTGTGGCCTTAGATTTTATTAATAACGGTTACAGGTTCTGTAGCTCTCTAAAAGCGGAGAATGTCTTTGATATTCGACTAATGATGTGTTTACCCATAAAAATATAGACAATACAGTAACTGGCACACTAATGGAGAATGTTTAAAAATCAATATTTGTTACTCTGGCAAGTCGACCCAGCCTAACATGGGTACCAGGATGTATGTCATTGGAAAGTAAAGACGACTGACCACTTTACCCACCTATTTCCGATTGGTGTGTAAAAATATGGGTGCTCTTCCCACATGTCCGATGAGCCTAAAGACGTGAAAAGGGATCTTTATTTTACTATGCTAGAAAGTCAATGTCGGTTACTAAGCTAAAAAAAAAGTACTTTAAAACTGGGTTATGGTTACTGAGCTACAGGTTTGTAAAGCTGGTCATAACTTTTGGAACGGACTATACCTCTTTCACCCCATTTGTTGCGTACACTGTAATATGTTCTAGCCACATATGATTTAGTCAGATCGGAGCACAACTGGTGATCTGCTCAAAAATATACCACCTGTCAATACTTTCTGTAAACTTGCCAGGCATCAGTTTTTAAACTCTAGGAAAAGCGGCTCTCGACCTTCCTAACGCGGCGACCCTTTAATACAGTTCCTCATGTTGTGATGACCCACCAATCATACAAAAATTTCCATTTCCACTTCGTAACTTTCTGAAAGTCTTTTGCGATCCCCGTGAAAGGGTCGTTTGACCCACAAAGGGGTCGCGTCCCACAAGCTGAGAACCGTTGCTCTAGGATGTCAGGTTAGTTTTTAATTCCTTAAAATGATGACTACATAATTCCGATTCGTTAATTTCGCACGGGGCAGCAACAACGGTTCGAAGCTAGCAACAAACTACGTGTTAATTTTATGATTCAACTGCATCAATGTTTTTTTTTTTTCTTGTTCTGCGTTCGCCCAGATTGTGTTGTGGTTAACAGGGTTGCGATATCTGCACCCCTTACCCCCCCCCCCCCCCCCCCCCCCCTCCATACGGCCGAAGACACAGGAAGACGAATCAAAGAATCCTTAGATCCACAATAAACAATCACCAGCGCAGCGATCAGCACGAGGTAAACCAAGCACCAGCAACAATCAGCAAAAACCCACAGATATCAGCACTAAGAGAACTGAACCATACCAGACCCAAAAACCCCAAGCATCACACCGGATTTAGGAAGCCAAGAACCGTAATATCAGGTGTGACTACACACCACAAATAAAAGGAAACCAATTAAGATAGCCAAGGAACCTTCCTTCATATAGCAGGCCTCCGGGCAACTGAAAATGGATCAAATTTGGAATTTTTGTTGGACAACTGGAATTGGACAATAAACAATATAATGCCACTTTTCTGGCTGACTTATGACAAACATAATTTACAGATCGCTCTGAAAACTATTATGTGTTTTTTATGAAAACGTTGAAGTAGAATAAGAGCTATGACTAGACACGGTTCTTCTTCTTCTTTCGTTCGCTTGACATACTCTACGTAATTATACCTGCAGTGTTGCTTCTAGTAGGAACTTCACTACCAGAAAAAAAATGCAGCCATTACCAGGAACTGAACATACACTCTTGTGTAGACCAGCGAATGTACCGTTTAACCTGCCACAACGGTTACAAACTATAAAACATATTAACAATATAAACCCTAAACACACACCCTATTAGGATCTGCCTCTCCCAGTGAGGCTCTGGTCATTCGATAGAAATCTGGTGTACTTCGATGGTCATCATCAGCCTTCCTAAAATCCATTAGAACAGTTGCCATCGCTAAGCCAGGTATACACAGCAACAGGGCCTGCAGTTTTCGAAGTAACTAGACGTTGGATTTGAGCCTCACCTTATGTATGCCTAATTTATTGGGCTAGCTTTTTGCTTTACGGTGGGCGTCAGTGATTTTTTTGGGGGGCTATTTACTTTACTCCCGACATCCGTGGTTGTAGAAGGTAATTTCTTTTTTTCTTCTTTCAGTGTCACAGTTGATTCGCCGAAACATTCGTTTGGGCGGGGTGGTTTAACAGACTGTTATATCAGGACAATCAGTATGACGAAGTAGACGGTGTCTACAGGTTGCTTTGTCAAGAGCACACTAGGTTAAGGTAAACAAGACATCCGGGATGTGTGTGATCGCGTGCGCGTGTGCGCATGTGTGTAGTTTACAAATAATTTGCAGACATCTTTGGACAAAGAAACTAAATTACTAGGCATAGTTAACGCATCCAAAATTAGTTGTTGTTTTTTTTTTTTTTTACTGAAGGAAGGAAAAAAAAACCTATAACCACGAAACCAGTGAAGAAAAAGAAAAAGAAAAAGAGAAAGAAGAAAAAGAAGTAGGAAGAGTAGAAAAAGAAGGAGGAAGAGTAGAAAGAGAAGGAGGAGAATATGGTATGGGATGATGAAGAGGAGAAGAGCAAAAAGAAGGAGAAAAAAAAGAAGAAGCAGCAGAAGCAGCAGCAGGAGACGAAGAAGAAGAAATAGAAAAAGAAGAAGAAGAAGAGAAGGAAAAAGAGCAATAACAAAAACAATAACCACAACAACAAAGAACACAAGAAAGACACAACAATAACAAGGCAAGAGTACAATAGATACTTTCAAAACACTAAAAACAAACATGTGGCTATTGAATAAGACTTATAGAATACTAACCCAAGAAACTACAACCATCATTTTGAATATTATATACCCAAAGAGAGCTGTATGTTAATACATAAAAAATAACATAAGATAACAGAGCGAATAAAAGTGTAAACACAGACACCAGTATTTGGCATTTCGGATGAGATATCAGAAAATACACTAAAATAGAATATGAGCACTGTAAAGAACTCTTTGTAGATATCGATGGATGATTTCCACTTATTCAACGTCAACAATGTGAGTACAGGGGTTCTCAGTTGTCTCGAGACATAGCGTCCTCCTCGAGTGCTGGAGGTCTCGGTTGAGGGCTAGGATGTTTCCATGTGGACTTCTAGTATTCCCTTGGTCTCTGGGTAGTAAGATCGGACGTCCGTGGGTACTATTGTGCACGTAAAAAAAAAGAAACTTTAGCAGTTGGAAATCCAAAAAAGTAGCCTAACAGCTTGAGTTAGACAGATTGAGTTAGACAGATTGAGTTAGACAGATTGAGTTAGACAGCTTGAGTTAGACAGCTTGAGTTAGACAGATTGAGTTAGACAGCTTGAGTTAGACAGCTTGAGTTAGACAGCTTGAGTTAGACAGCTTGAGTTAGACAGCTTGAGTTAGACAGCTTGAGTTAGACAGCTTGAGTTAGACAGCTTGAGTTAGGAGTAGAACGGAGTACATGTGGTGTCCTTTTCTTTGCCCATTACATCAAATTCAAAAGCCTTGATCTTTCTTTTCAGCGACGTCACACATATTGATTTTGCCACCAGAAAAACGCATGTTTAAATTTGTTTCATATAATAATAGGAAAGATTATTTGTCGCCTGTATGGCTTTGGTGCAGTGAAAGCGCTCCGAAATTCCGGAATACCAAGTCAAATTGCAGCTGCGAGCTTTTCGGCTGAAGCCCGCTTTGCGTAGATTTCGAAAACTTATATCGAGAGCCGCTCATGTGGAAAACTACTGAAAGTAGAACTAAGTAAAAAAAAAAAAAAAATAAACAGCCAAAATAATGTAGGTTTTTTTTTTTTTTTTTGCAACGACCTGCAACCTAAATACAACTAATTAGGAACTAGACTCAGAACTAATATATTGATTAGCTAGCGTACCAGCGACAACCTCAACTAGGCTACTCACTACATAACATACAAAATACCAAACCTACAAACACACCCTATTAGGATCAGTCTCCCCTAGTGACGCTCTGGTAAGTCGGTAGAAATTTGGCACACCGCGACTATCAGCCATTTTAGAATTCTAGTGAACCGGTTATCCCCACTAGCAAGGTCTAGCAAAAAACTAGAGACTGAAACTCCGAAGACGCGTAATCGTTGGATATACGTCTCTTTTATTCTGTGTGTAAATGTTACGTAAGAGGCGCGTAACGGTTAGTGAAGGCGTTACGTTTTATTAGCTTCTTCATGTTTCTTTTGAAAGTGGACATCCATGAATGACTTCCAATGTCGTTTTTTGATTCACACAAAAATTCCAATGTCAAAATGCCGGTATGAGCAGGCAGAGGTGCCGACACCAAATAAACATTGGGGTAATTTTTGGGGGGCGGGGGGGGGGGTGGTTAATTTATAAACTTGTCTAGGGTTTGGGGGCGCTCTCAACGGGCTAAACCTTACGTAAATGATAAATATTACTGATTGTTATTAACATTCTCATCATTTTCATAATTAATCATCATCATAAAGTCATCCTTATTTTTATTTGCTATATGGCAAATAAAAATAATAAAACATTTGAAATAGGAAATGTACAGATAAACTCTAAGAAAGGATCTCCTATACATGGTTAGAGAGGCTGCTTAATACCACCTTCCCCCGACCCCCCCCCCCCTCCCCCCCAAAAAAAAATCCAACACTCACTCCGCTGCAAAATTTTGTAGGAAAAAGGATGCTCTGCTCACCTCTAAAATGTATTAGGAGGGAGGAGGTGTCTCAACCACTGAATTTAAGGGTGGAGTCTCATACATTGTGTATGGGCGTTGTGGGAACCTCAAACCCTGTATGTGGGACGGGGGTGTCTCAATATGTCTGAACTCCCATGTTTCATCGCCCCTGGAGGCAGGCTGTAGGTGTGCACCGGGACCATGAGTGCAGTGAAGTGAGAAGGCGTCTACAGGTTGGTGAAAAAAAAAAGGTTACGCTATTTTAATTGTGTGGGAGAGATCTGGGATAGGCTTGAATTTAGGTGAACCCCTGAGGTCACTGAACAACACGCACACACACACACACACACACACAAACCCGCCCGCGCGCATACACACACATAAACACACCTAGATATGCACATACGTAAACAGGTGAGCAGGCCTTATGCTGACCACATTACCCACAGAGTGCCGATCGGTCTGTACAAAATATGGGACGCTCTGCCCATATACCCAATGCGCCGAAAGGCGTGAAAAGGGATCTTTACTTTACTTACACAGGTGAGCGTATAGCACAGAGGTTCTCAACATATGGTTATGAACACATTTTTGGTGTCGAACGAACGTTTCACAGGGGTCGCTAAAGACCATCGCAGAACAGAAATTTTTGAAGTTATGAAGTTGCAACAAAAATAACTTTATGGCTGGGAGTAACCACAACATGAGGAACTGTATTATTGGGTCGAGGTGTTGGGAAGGTTGACAGGAAATGGTTCTAGCAGTTACATCAAGGCGGTATACCACAGCACAGTAGTTCTCAGCCTTCTTCTTCTTCTTCATTATTTTAATTTTAATTTTTATTATTCACCGGCTGTTAACTTCAGCGGAGAGTTCTGGTTATTTGTCCACCCCAGACAGTATAATTGTTCTAGAACTGGAGTGTTTCTTGCGCATATATTTGTGCAGATCTGACTTATAGTATGCGCACTCTTGGTTCAATGTCTCTAAGGAGAGAGATTCACCCTGACTTTGAAGAAAGCCTTTAATTAGTCGACTCTTGCGACATGCTTGCTGGGGAGGCAGTAAGTCTTTTCTTGTTTTCCACACAATGGGGTATCCGAACCCACACGGGATCTCTCCGGTTCAATGTCATTGAATGTTTTTTAAAGAATGTCTTTCGCGTTTTAAAGCTCAGAGATAGATAGACGTAAAGTTTCAGGTAGCCTTCCTTAGCTCTGACTTTCCATTTCTAAGGATCCACAGTAGGCTAAAATTATGGAAATGCAGTCTGAAGAACAGTTATGGCAGGGTAGACCAAGTCCATAGCCTTGATTGTCAGTTGGTCTATGAGGAAATCTCCAACAGGCCGGCAGAAGAAAAAACATTGTTTTTCTAATCCGGCAGTTTCTGCGGCATGTCTTATTCCAAACGTATTGTTGTCACCATTCTTTTTAGGGAAACAAGGCAGGCCGAGCGAAGGATGAAGCTGCACATGGCAACACCTGACCTCTACTGCAATGCCTGGGGTTTGTGCTCTGGAGATGAGGACATGTATCTCTAGCTTTAAGTGGCGGTGATTCACAGACCTCTCTAAAGCACAGTAAAGCAGTCATCGATGAGCTTCGAGCAGAGTGGCAGTCTCACTTAGAAGGTCACGCGTAGTGAGCATACTTTGGATCCTATCTCCAGGCCATGCCGACATGGTGGGGAATGAACAGGCAGACAGACTGGCTGGATTTGCACCACTGGATGGTGAATCGATGCACGACAAGGTAGGTCCCTTTTGGAACAAGTAACCAATTCAGAAGAGAAACTGAATTATTATGACCTGGAAAGAATGATGCATGTGAATGTGACAGAGGGTCTGGCGGTTCACTGCACTCAGAGGAAAGGCAAGTCAGATCTATAACCAGACTACGACAGGCACCATCAATATCGGTACTCTGTTCTGACTGCTGAAGATAGTGACAGAGCATATATGGGAATTCATCGAGTGCTGTTATGTCAATTATTGACTCAACTCAACTCAATGACCATTAGTTCCATGATAACTCTCGTTCATGCGTGCTTTCAGAGACTTGTTAGTGACATTTAGCTGTTATGTAAACGACATTGGGCGTTAACATTTTTTCCCCTGCTGTCAGAGACTTTCTGTCTTTTACTAATAGTACACTTGAGTAGTAAGTCTGCCCGGGGCGCTAGCTCAGTTGGTTTAACCAGCTGCGAGGCTACCGGATGACAAGCTCCTTTGGGTCAGAGTTCAAGCTC